GTCATTCTGCCGTTGTGAGTGTGGACGGTCGGAGCATATAGCTATTGCGTTAGCTTAGCCGATCTCCATTTAGACAATCAAAATCTAGTTTTATTTATATAGCACATTTTTAAACGATTTTTGGTCGAGCCAAAGTGTTACATATAATAAAAATACCCTACAGTAAAGACACTTTACAGCAAATACAACAGCACAGTTTGTGCAGAATATCAGTATGAGAAAACGACACCCTCTGTCCTTAGACCCTCACATCGTACAATGAAAAACCTCCGGAGAAAAATCCACAGTTTAAAGGGGAACATGGGAGAGACCTCAGGGAGAGCAACAGAGGATGGATCCCTCTCCCAGGACGGACAGACGTGTGTAAATCGAAGAGATAATACATTTTACTGTGTAGGTAGACCAAATGTTTGGAAATGCATGTGTTTATAATAAGAAGATCACGCATTTTAAAATGTTTTTCACCTGCCGTCTGTCTGCAGACTTGTCAAAGCATTAATTCATGGTTTTTACTAACCGGTATCAGTATGTTGTTACTTCGGCATCATTTTGAAAAGTGTATTACAATTAAATCACGGTCAAATATGTTCATCTTGTTGTAGTTGTAGCCCCCTGGCCAGCGATTCTCTCTCTAGTTTAGCAAACTCAGCCCGACTCAGCCCTGTTTGTTGGCCTTGATAGAACCACGATTTAGTCGGGCCAGAAAAAAGGTGAAAAAAAGTATCCCCGGGCCAAAACTAGGCCAAGTGGAAGCGCAACCAAAAACGGGCCCCGCACGGCTCGGCACGCTTAAAGCGAGCTCCGCGCTGCAGTGGAAACGCGCCATTAGTTAACTCCTTCAGCATAGGATACGCTGACCATCCTTCACGAATGAAAGCAAATAATGCATTCCCACAAGGCCTTAAACAGTAAGGTCAGTGTGCCATACTGAGACTGTTTCAGAAAGGCTGTTTGTGGCTGTAGTCTAAATCCTTGATTGTTGGTCACCTTCAACTCAGGTGTGCCGACAGTTGTTTAAATGTAGCTAAAGCGTTAGTTCAGTCAAGAAGAGTTCATTATGGGAAACCACTCTTAGACAATTACATTTGACCACAATCTCCAGCAGCCAATCCTCGTTCTGCAGTCAACATTTAAATGTGTTCTACTCTCTCCTGCAGTCAGCTGTGATTTCAGGCATTGATGCTGCGGCCTAGACCCCGGGGGAGTTCCTATCCTACTTACTGCTGCACATCCCCTTTAAAAAGGTATGTGTTATCATGATTGGGGTCTTATCGCTAAAGAGTGAGGGTTGTTAGTCTCTGCTGATTGAACTGAAGTGACACTTACCTCGGACTCGGAGTCGTCATGGGACAGAGCTCGTCTGTAGCGCACCTTGCTGTTCCCCCGCGAGTCCTCCTCTCTCTCCTCCAGCTTTGCTTTTGTCCTGTGCTTCTTCATGAGGAAATTATCTACCACCCAGAACATGAGGGCCTAAAAGCAAACAGAAAACACTTCAGTGAATTATATCTCGCCACTGGGAAATAATAGAAGTGATTTTTTTACATTCATAAACACACAAGAGAATGAACATGGTATGAACAAAAAAGGATGAATCTGAATGAAACTTGACATGTCGAGCGTTGGTGAAGCCGGAGCAGTGAAATGAGGGTACAAAGAGAAACACAAAGTAAGAGCAGACTTACGTTGACGAAGAACGGAACGATGAGCATGACGATGGCCAACTCCAGGTCTGGGTTCTGTATGGGGTTGAGGAGAGCCAGCTGCGACACACACACACACACACAAACACACACAAGCACAGACATGAGCAAATACACAGCACACAGTTCAAAGACCAGTTGAAGGATAATTAAGTAGAAGGACAGTCCGCCGAAGCTCACACCTCAACTTGGAATCTGCCAGACATTACTAAACGTAACCACAAGAGTCTGCAAATGGGAAAAGTTGAAGTGTAGAGTAAAAGCAAGTTTGCCATATGGGATCATTTGCTCGTTAAAGGGATTGTTCGGGATGGAAATGAGAAGTTAACCTGAAGCTTTGGACTCTCACTGAGTTCATGTTGTTGTTACTAGAGGAAAAAGGTATAGATAGATAGCTATATTGAAAGCATGTTACTTTGCCTCTCAAAACACTTAAAGATACAATTATCTACACTAACTCTAAAATCAATCAGCTCTCTTCTTCTCGAAACAAACCTACAACAATGAATTCAACGCAAAAAAAAAAAAAAATCTGTTCAACATGACGTGAGCCGAACAGTATGGTGAGTGAGAGACGGTGCGAAAGATAAAGCTTGTTTTTCCTTGCCTAATCCACTTGTTTGGGTGAAAATAATAATGGATCTGAAGGTATTGAATATTGAAACTGTGTATTTCATTGAAAAGATAACTACGGCAAAAAACTGAGGACTTTATTTTCAAATAAGTGAAACTCTTTTTTCCTGACCTTCTTCCACTGAGGGATGAGGAGGACCAGCATGATGAGGACTTTCTCAAACATCATGATGAGGATGTAGAGGATGCACTGGCCCAACCACGCTGTGCACTGCACCGGCTCTCCTACACACACACAGGAAAACAGAATATGGTAACAAAGATCTGCTGAGGTATATGTACAGCACAGATCTTTATCAGATGTCACCGCTTCAGTGATTCACAAACTGTTTGAGGGTCAAACTGGTTTGTAGGAAAGGACATTGCAGCACTGCAGTCCTGAGGGCAGCTGCTGCCCCCCAATGGGCATTACAGGCATTAAAGAATCTGCTGGAGCACACTTGACCAGTCACACACACTCACCGTATTCCCCAAAACGCAGAGACTCCCACTGCCTCCACTCTACGATAGCACTGACGGCTCTCACCCCGGCATAGATCAGCAGCATGCCCAGAGAAGCGTCCAACAGGAAGTTAATGAGGTATCTGGGGAGAGACAGTAAAGTGTAACTTGAGCTTTCCTGCTGGACCGCCTAGCGATTCCCGGTTAGAATTCAACCTCATGTCTACTTATCTTAATAACACAGTTTCTTGGAAATCTATTTGTAACATGTGGAATCAAGGAGCTTTTAGGAATCCAGGACTGACTCACAGTGAGCAAGGATCCTCTTCTGTGAGGTCTGACAAGTAGACATTAGCAAAGTGGATAAACAGCATCCCGATGGCCTGCTTCGAGGTGTCCAGGAACCTGCAGAGGGACGGGACATTTGATAAGTGTCAGAGGGACTCCAGCGGGATTCATTTGATGCCTTTGCAGAGAAACAAATTAAAGCTGGCTCAGCAGCATTACCAGATCCTCCAGGGTCTCCTCTCATGCTTTGGCTCCCTGAAGCGTTTCACTGTGAGGGAAAGAGTGTACCACAGAGATAGTGGGATTTGAATGACACACTCACACAAACACAATGAAAGACAGAATCAATCAAATATAATGTCTTTTTTTCCTTTGATTTGACCGAGGTATATGTTCTTGTGAGCTGTCATGAGTCAGGTGAGCATTTTGTTGATTTTATAGAAGCTCGTCTGTTTAGTTTAACTGATAATACTGCCTTGTATTGACATTTGCATGATATAACAATGGCTGACTTCCCTTTTAGTGCAGTTAAACTGTGAGTAGTAAAACAGTAGTATAAAGTAGTAGCTGTTTGGGTAAAGTAAGATAGGCAACAAAATACAGGCTAACCCTATATAACTGGCTAATGCAGAACAGGAAGGAAGCAGAACGAGTGGTCCAGACTAAAACCTAAAACCTGCAGCAGCTGGGAAAAGAAGAATCCGGTGCCCTTCTTTGCAGCAAAACAGTAAACAAGAAACAGAGGACCGTTTTTTTTTTCGATAACCAAAAGGTTCTCCCTTTTGAAGATAATCACACTCAGAACACTTCAATATTTAGTCTGATAACATTTGTAAAAAGCAAAAAAGTGACAAAGATTAAGCTGTAATCAAACTGAAAAATAAGAGTGTTGTAAAGATAAAAACGTAACTGCAAATACTAAATGGTGTTTAAATGATGGGCTTTTTAGACATGCTTACTTTAATTGATCTCTGTGTAAAATGAGTTAGAGGCATTTCACGCATGATCATTATTGGAAGCAACACAAATTAAGCTCTTGCTCTTCTTGACAAAAGCAGCTTGTTTTCCATCACACCATGTTCTTTAACTCCTATGACACAGTGCTGCATCAGCAGAGGCGAGCTTTACCACGTTGTGACATCACAGAGTACATTTTCTAAAGTTAACACAAACTCTAAATGTTTCGGATACCTCCCTGGACGTTTACCTTCTACATGAGCCCCTTTATTCTGACAATGTCACCTCTTAAAAGTTGCACTAAGTAGTGGAGCTTTTCCCACGGCTTTCTGTGTTTTCATGAAGGCGAGGTGTGACCTCAGTCTCTGTTTCGAGCATAAGCGTGACTTTAGACTAACACAGGGTGTGTACCCTGTATGCAGCTGGGTGTGATGTGAACACAGCCCTCAGCCCACTTCTTCTGCTCAGAGAGCTGCCTCGGGGGAAAGAGTCTGAAATGCTGAACATTCCTCATTGCTGCGAGGCTGTGGGACACACACTACTGAGGCTGCTCTCATTAGGTCACACATCTGTCAGAGCTGTGCCAGACACTGACTGAATGGAACCACGGCTAAAGAGCCAGGGTGATTTTTCTCCCTAGACAAATGTTTCCCTGTTTATCTAGTTATGAGGTTGGCTGCCCACCTCTAATGTAAAGCCTACTCATGGAGAGCTCGGAACAAATAGAACAATTACACTGTTTAAAATGCATAAACATTATGGCTTTTACGGTAGCAGCAGGGAATCACTATTACAGTGAATTGGAAGTGTAGGCACAGTTTTTGCTAAAACACTTAAGGTAAGTCCATTTTCCTGCAATTGCTCCCTTAACTCCCTGACTTTTTACAAACTCCGGCTGACACCTGCATAACAAAACCCCTATTAGGGAAAACCAAAGCAGTTTCGACGAATATATGTTAATATTTTTGCAGCAGAGAAGGTCGAACATTTACCAGAAAGTGTGGAGAGTAAGCATATTTTAATACAACCACAGAGTAGTGAAACACTGTGTTGAAGCAAAAAATAGGTTTTTCAGTACAGAAAGAAGGTTTTTCCATCTTAGTAGTGTTTGCCTCCTTCTCTTATAGAATCGAGCACGCGCCTCCCAGCTGAAATCAATATCGCATTGATTGACAGAGTGATGCTATTGGTTAATTGCTTGTTCACATCAGCAGCCAGTGTCAGGTATCTGAGTGTCCATACTCACGCATCAGTATGCTGAAAGCCATCATAGCCAGCAGTCCTTGCAGGAAAATCCCAAACGAGTCCATTAAGGCTCCATTCTCGCAGCCCCGGGTATCGGTACCCAGCGTCGGGCTCTCGGACACCGAGATGTTGGTGAAGGACATGGCGGGCGGCAGCACTGCAGGACCGAGCATGTTCACACCGCCGACAGCAGCCATGAGACAGACGAGCAGCACGAGAGTAATTGATAATAGCTTCTCACCCACGGTAGCTTCCCAGTCCTCTCCAGCAAGTGTCGGTCAGCTAATCGATGGGATAAGCCGGACAGTGCTCGGTGAAAGAGGGTGGCATCTTCTCCCGTCCAGGCGCACACTCATGCTAGACACATGCATGCAGTCATAGCTAAGGTGTCATGAGAAGAAAAGCGACAAAAGGTTACAAGAAGTTATAAATGCCTGGCTGTTAGCAGGAACCGACTGCAACATTACAAATCAATACAATAGCTAGTTTAGTTTTGCGGTGATAACGTATCCCATCTAAACCAGCACTCATGACATACCAACTAACCTGCCATGCAGCTTCTCAGACACAAAAGGCCGGTGCTACTTGTTTTAAATGTGTTGTACAATGCATGTCAACCACACGTGAGATTCAGGCGAGAGACAAGCGTCCATAGTAAAAATTAAATCCAGATGCTACACCTAGCTAGCCCCCAAGCTAGCTACTCAGTTATATTAAGCTAACTCTGCTAACAAACTTAACATTTCCTTTTGTTCGTTAAGAAAAACCGGTGCCCTGGTTCCTCGTTGCCTTAAAGAAAGTAAAAAAAAAAATAGCTAGTTTATGAGAATTAAATATGAATAATTGCAGGTCACGGCTCGCGTTCATCCAGCTGCTTCCCTGGCCACCAGAGCCCACTCATGTTGACAGACGCACGGTCACGTGATCTACGTAGCCTCGCACTGCATCCTGGAAAATGTATGACACAGCGGGTGGATGCAGGATTTAGTTTTATCAGTAGTGAACAATACATTTACTCGAGTATTGTACTTTAGTACGATTTTGGGGTACTTGTACTTGAGTATTTTTATGTTATGCGACTTAATACTTCCACTCTACTACAATTTGGAAGCCAATACTATACTGTTTACTCGATTACATGACTAAATTAGTTACTTTACAGATTCAGATTTATTAGCTAAAAGATAATATAAACTAATAGATAAACTATGATATACAATTATAGGTTAAGATATCAAGCAGCATTCTATATAACAATAAAAAGTAGCTCCACCTTTTAACAGCTGTGATAAACACATTATTATATATTAAAAAAGTAATGAGTACTCAAACTGCATACTGGAAAAAGTATATAGACACGTAGGCCTACACAAACACACACCAGGAGGCTGCAAGATTTTGTTTTTCATTGATTTAATTGCAGTCATCTCTTAAATAGCAGAATCATCTTGGAATAGGAGAAACAAAGCTGCTCAATTGCTTTTAATAACGCAAACAAGCAAATTAGTGAACAGAGAACCTATTGAGGTTTCTTTCTCACACAAAATGAACAATACAGTAAATCACACTACAAAAACTGGTAAAAAGAGGAAAACTAATTCACAAAAGCACTTTGATAATACCTTCTTGGTTTGAAACTGCCAAGTTATTAAGTTAATTGTTAAAAACAACAAATAAGAAATGGCTCAAATAATCAACTATAGCTGAATTAGCCCATATGAGAAAGTTTAGGTGTATTCTGTGCAAATATATTGTATATTTAGGGGAATTACACATTGCTTATGTAGAAATTGTATTTCTATTTTTTTTTCTAATCACCCTGTTGCACTAGAAGATATTTCATTATATATACACACTATATACAAACATGCACTGTCATACTTGCATACCACCATACAGTACATGGTCTTGCTTGTGCTTGCATTACCTTACATTGTAAACTGCTCTTACATACTGTATAAGCTTGAACAACAATTTGAAATCTTGAGATGAGGGCCCACTTTACATCAGTTTTTTTTTAGCAGATTGTATCTTAATTCATCTTTATAACATTTGCAAACTGTGTTAGTACAACATACATGTCTGGTGTTTACACTATTATCAATCTCTTAACCTTGGGACACTGTCAACTCCACAATCAGTTTCTAGTTTATTATTACGTCTGGCTTTTAAAAAAACTAATAATCCTACAAAACTTCTGGTTCCACCTGTATGCAAACCGTTTTCTTTCTTTGCTTGATTATTGGGATAAAAGTTTTGTTAAAAATGTGTCTAAACTAGAAACCATAAAAAAAGGCTTAAAGATACAGCATTTGCACTAGTCTTGATTTAGTGAAAAGGTTTGCGTTGAAGCGCTTCAATGTAGGAGATCTGTCATGTCCTGCTTCGAGCCTTATCTGCACCAAAACAACTAGAACGTATTTTCAACCAAATTGGACCCAAGTGATCGCAGATAACAGATATTCCAGGTAAAAGTAAAAGCTGTAATTCAGTGGTATTTCCTTGTACAGACAGCAGGTCAGGGAGAATGGACAAAACAGGCTGAGTTGTAGCACTGGCACTTGGTCATCCACATAAATATAAGAGTACAATTCGGGACACTGAAGAAACACAAGTTAAAAAAAATTGATCAAAACTAAGTAAGTCCTTGATGATGGCTTGCCTTGTTTTTGCGAAATATGCTTTAACTTAAATTCATTAAGACATCAAAGTGTCTTGAATCGCTTCCGTTTTTCAGTTTCCTGCTGTGTCTTTCCTAAGGGGCGCCTAAACCGTTTTTGAGGTTTAAAGTAGCTCTTAATTCCTTTCCAACACAACAAAGTATATTCATGATAGTAAAAGGACATCCAGTGTTGTAAAAGTCAAAATTGGAAAAAACTGTTTTTCACAGTTTTTGAATACACAGAACAGTATGCAGTCAGGTCCATGCTCATTCCCCGGCGGCTACGTGGCAAACTGCTGATAAAACGCCAGCTTGACCCTCTCAATGTGGTGGCACAGCTTGATCGCCGGTCCCAGCTTCAGGTCCATACACTCCTGCACTGTTGGGAGGTTCAGCAGCAAAAGTGCCTGTCCGTCAATCTCCTGCAAAACATACATTCGCATCAGATACAGTTTCTTAAAATAGCATTGCTTTCCAGGGAGGGTAAAGTGATGTTTTGTATCTGTGACCATGGATTCAAAAAAAGTGTGTTATGCACTTATTGCAGTTGAATGGAGTGAGCTCTCATCCTGAGTGGCCATTAAGTCTCTGAGTATTTCTTACCTGATCCAAGAAAATCCGAGCAAGAGGAGCACAGTCAGTGGTCCTGATGAAGCGAACCACGTCAGTAACGCTCCACTCCAGCGGGCTGGTGTCTAAACACAACTTCGGAGGAGCCTCAATCTTTGAAGTCTATAAACACACAGATACAGTGAGTCAGACAAAAACTCTGAGAGTATCCCAACTCATGCTGAGAAGGAGGAGGTTATTTGTAAAAGAAAACACTGGCTGCTTCAGTCTTATTGGTTTTCTACATGTACTAGTAAGGGTAAGTTCAGGTCAAGTTTAAACCGTAAAAATAATATTGGAATGGATGAATTAGACAAAAAAAGACAGTTGTATTTGTATTTCGGTTTATACTACAGACAGATTGGTAATATAAATACCAAAACATTATATTTCCATTATCTTTCAATATTAACTATTTGATTTAGCAGAGAACTTCATCAGGCATTGTCAAAAAATTCTTCTCTGATCCTGCACCTCTAAAAGAGTGTTGCCCATGCATGCATACTATACCCTTTTTGTCTCTAGTATTTATAATAATCTAGTCTTTAAAAGTGTCTTCTCATTACCTTTGGGGAAGGAGGGCGGTTCTCATCATCGGAGAACGAGGGTGAGCGGGGTTTCCTGCGCCGGCGTGTGGGTCTGGGTGTTGCCGGGGGGGAGGGGCACGGCGTGGCGGGCTGAGACTTCTCGATCGACTGTTCAGAATCATCCTGCAGGTCGGAGCCGGAGTCACTCAGGGAGTCATCTTCATCCAGATCTTCTTCGTCGCCGCTGCCCTGTACGTCAAAAGGACAGTTAGCACACATTCAGGTAAACTGTTCAAAGGTTTTAATGTCCTAAACACAGCTACAGTGTAGTTGTGCACAGAGGCAGAATCAAAGTAAATGGTGATTGGTGCATTCAAGAGGGTGTATGTAAGTGCGTGTGTCACCTGTGGAGACCCAGCAGGCGTGTTATCCACCGAGGCTGAGGAGCGTCTCTTCTTATGGACAAAGAGCTGCTTCCTCCTCTTCCTCCTCCTACCTCTCCTCTTCACTCCACCCTCCAGGTTGGAGTGGCCCCCGGGGGGACGGCCAACGCGCTTACTCTTCTTCTTTCCGTAGTAATAAGCTGGTGACAAGACGACAGGGTTGTTGTGGAATTGTTGCATTTTACGTGCAACATTTTAATGCACCATTGATATAGATGGGGGGGTTGAGGAGCTTGACGCTCGTCAACTATCAGCAGGAGGGCGGGGGAGCCTCGCTGCGGGGAAGCAGTGTGTGGACCTGTCAGCGCAACTTACATAATGCCGAATTTAACAAACACATTTAAATAATTGGTTTAAACGGCATAATAATAAGGACGATCAACCGTTCTGTGATTCTCCAGAGCACACATGTTAGGATATTAGGCTCATGGAAGTGAGATCAGATCGCTGTCCCTTTAAGAGAGAGAGAGAGAGAGGGGTGTGGCTTGTGCATGTGTGTTTGTGGATGGTAGAGCGACAGTGAGGGAACGTGTATGTTTCTGGAAGTGAAACGAGGAAGCAGAAAAACAGAGGTCTGTGATGTATTTTGTGAAACAGAAGAACAGCTAAATAAATGCAACGGCCTCCCAAGAAGAACTCGCCTCTCTCCAGTCATTTAAGCTAAAGTGGGTTATTGAACCTGAAGCTTGTTGCTTCTGCCCTCCTCGACTACGGTCTGGGAGCCGACAGGAAAGTTCAACACACAGATGGCCAGTCCGCCCCTTTGTAGCATATTATTTCGATGAGAGATGAGCAGATCGCCACTGGGCTTTCAACTAAATACACAGCCACGCAAAAACTGCGGCATTTGTACAGCACCTTATGGATACTGCAATTAGTGAAGTGCTTTCCGTGGTGAAACTATCAGCACTGCACCATGGAGGAAAGCGGCAGAAAGTCACCTGGAGTTAAAGAGAGCGGGGCTGCGTTGCGTGCATGGCTTCCTTCTGCAGGTAACGGGGAGACGCGCTCTGGCGGCGGTGTCGTTCAGGATCCGAAAATACAATTTAAATATTTTTGCACACTTATTCCACTTATTCCTAGTGTGCCACTGGTTACGGTGCCGCGTGCCAGCATTGCCGACCCCTGACTTACACTAACACTCACTTTGTGTGTCCTCAGTGAGCACACATCTCACGTTAATCTCAATCTGCAGACGACACTCTGCTGCTGCGCTCTGCAGACAGTCAGTTAAAGTATCACTTTCATTAAACATTGAATTACTTGTTCTGCATCACATGAGCACAAACCGTTAGAGACTGTTTTATCATGGTGAAAATCACAATTATCATGGCTAATATTAAAATCACAAGTATTTAACATGACATTGGAAATATCATGAGCACAGTTAATTATTTTGAAGAATTTATCCTTTTAAATTGTCATCATGATTTTTTATTTTTTTTATTCAGATCAAAAATAATTAGATCAAAAATAAATCATGTATGTATATATATATATCTCATAGTATATATATCATAGTATACTTCCACAACCTGCTGAAATATTCCTGCACATATATTCCAAAATATTTCAATCAGTCCAGTCCAACGGGTGCACTGGATTTATCACACAAGACAAAGCAAGTGCATCATAATGGAAATCATTTGAAGATGCATCGTTTTCACAAGACAGAGAGGGAGTGAAATATTATAAACTGTATAAACTTCATGCCGATGATGGCGTGTGAGGTCCGTGGTCTAGTTTTAAAGACGCGGGGGGGTCAGAGGGGGACTTTGCATGTCAGCCGTGTTGTTGCGTTCGAGTGCGCAGATGTGTGCATGCATGCGTGAGAGTGAAGCGACCTTGTCAGAGGATGTTTCTGCCTCATGTCTTTCCGTGTGTGTGTTTGGCATGCGTGTGTGCTGCAGACTGAAACACACCCAAACAAACAAACAAATACCAACACGTCTGAATGTGACTGAGATTATTTCGAGGGATGTCACGCTACCAGAGGTTTAGCAGTCGATACCAATTACAGTGAAAATCCAAGATCTTTGAAACGGCAGTAAAATCCAAAACACATGATGTCAATGTAATCTAAATCCCTCTGTTTTGATTGCACAATATATGCAGAATGCAGAATGTATGCATATGGTGTTGTTTTCTTTGTTATTTGTTTTAAAAGAGGCCCTATTTAGCTTTTAAAGGTTTTCCATTCCGTCTAGTGTGTTATTTAGTGGGAATGCTGACACAGCATTCCAACCATCTGTTATGCTACGCACAAAATTCTTTATTATTCCACCGGGTTATTTTGCGCTGCTTCTTCTCCCACATTGAACATCGCAGAAACTCCGTTCAAACATCAAAACGTTCAGCTCAGTTGGGAATAAATGGCTATTACTTTTATCATTCATAACTTTCATAATTCCAGAGATACATCCCATAATTCATCACATTTTTAACATGGAAGTCAATGGAGAACTCTTCAGACTTCAACAATCTTCATGCAACTTCAACTGCCAACTGCTCCTTCATCAACTGCTAACTGCTCCTTCATACTTTCACTCAGAAACCTCATTCCAACTTTAAAATGTCAACGTGTGTATGTTTCTGGAAGTGAAACGAGGAAGCAGAAAAACAGAGGTCTGTGATGTATTTTGTGAAACAGAAGAACAGCTAAATAAATGCAACGGCCTCCCAAGAAGAGCTCGCCTCTCTCCAGTCATTTAAGCTAAAGTGGGTTATTGAACCTGAAGCTTGTTGCTTCTGCCCTCCTCGACTACGGTCTGGGAGCCGACAGAAAAGTTCAACACACAGATGGCCAGTCCCCCCCTTTATATTATTTCGATGAGAGATGAGCAGATCGCCACTGGGCTTTCAACTAAATACACAGCCACGCAAAAACTGCAGCATTTGTACAGCTCCTTATGGGTACTGCAATTAGTGAAGTGCTTTCCTCCGTGGTGAAACGATCAACACTGCACCATGGAGAAAGCGGCAGAAAGTCACCTGGAGTAAAGAGAGCGGGGCTGCGTTGCGTGCATGGCTTCCTTCTGCAGGTAACGGGGAGACGCGCTCTGGCGGCGGTCTCGTTCAGGATCCGAAAATACAATTTAAATATTTTGCACACTTATTCCACTTATTCCTAGTGTGCCACTGGTTACGGTGCCGCGTGCCAATGCTGGCANAGCAAAACTAAACAGAGTGCAGACAGACTACTGAAGCCTCCTCTCCACATAAAAGCAGCATACTGCATTAAACCTGACCTTCACAGAGAGGTTGAAGTTCATGTGGAGAGGAGGCTTCAGTAGTCTGTCTGCACTCTGTTTAGTTTTGCTATCTTACAATCAATATAGTAAATGTGAGGTAAAGTGTGTCGCCAATGTAACCGGTTAGAACTCAAAGTTGCGATGAGGTCTTAAAATGTATGGAAAGGGTCTTAAAAAAGGTCTTAAAAGGTATTAAATTTGACTTCAGGATTCCTGCATATACCCTGTACGTGTACAGCACTTTGGCTCGACCAAAAATTGGTTTTAAAATGTGCTATATAAATAAAACTTGATTTGATCAAGAGAATTCAAACAGTTCTTATCTTGGCTGCCATTTAGGTTCTTCCGGGTCATTTCTCTGTTAGGAACCTTTTTAAAGGGGCTACATTATGTTTTTTGGGGTTAAACCTGAAAATGAGCATAATATCTCCTCTTTAGGCAAGAAAGACCAACCGAAGCACACTCCAATGTCCAGGCTCTCAGACGCAGTGCATTGTGGGGCAGTCGACTAGGTGAAAAAACCCTGGACGCATACTCAGATCGTGGCAAAGAAGTAGTATATTTTGTGTATGAATACTTTTTAAGTACACAAACCCTCAGTGAGAACAGAAAGGGAGTATGAGGCAGGCTGCTGATTCCTCAGTGTTATAGTTTCCTTTAACATGTATAAACGTTGATGGCATAGAGTTGTCCCCTGACCGATTATCCATCAAGGATATTCTTCTTTGGTATTACTGATTATTGGATATTGAATGCTTGGAAAGTGACAGGAAATGCTAAGGAAAAGAGTGTCATGCAGCACAAGGCCCTTGAAGTTCTCAGTGTGTGTACTTCACTAAAAGAATAACAAAATGAAAATACTCAGTTAAAGTTCCTACTTTGAAAATGTTACTCAAGTAGAAGTACAACAGTATTATTAAGCATCAAAATAGACTAAGTTAAAGTTTTTAAAAAAGCACTCAGAGGCCCATGTCAAAATCATATACGTTAAGTTTTTAGATTATAATTATTGATGCATAATCAGAATCAGAATACCATTATCTGTCCCAGAGATAATGTTTTTGTTGCAGCTGGTAAAGGATGAGCTAACTTCATGTCTGTATTTACTGCTGTGTAGCTGGTAGAGAAGAACAGGTCAGGCATAACAGGAAGAGGAAGTATCAGGTATTCAGGTTTGTGTTTTTTGCTGCTCGTATGTGTTTTCTGAGCCACACAGAGGCCGGTGGTGTAATGGATAACACATTGATTTGACTATGAATCAGAAGATCCCGGCACTCCTTCCTCCCCGGCTCGTGAATTACTTTTGACGTTAATTTGTCCGTCTATCGATCCATTTACTTTCTTGGTCTGAAGCACTGTCCATTTCTAGATTTATCCAAAATCGTTTTACTAAGAAGTGTTTAGAGTGGTCAAATGATTGCAACGATTAAACCCAGATTACACACTTGTAGTGCACACATGTCCCTGCAGCTTGTCTTTGTAAACCGGATTCGCCATCTCCTTTCTTTCCCTTTTTCTTTCAGTTCAAACACCTTTGAACCCAAGTTGTCTCTGAGGTTGTGGTCACACATGTAAAGTGACTCACTGTACCAGAGGCAGCGAAAGCAGAGGCAACCTAAAGTCGCTTTTGCCTTCTCTCTTATATCTTAAAGATCCCCTAATATACTCTTTTTCAACACAAATATTATAGGTCTCAGATATATATAAAACACGTCTCTCAAGTGTTTGGCTCGAAATACCAAACAGATCGTGCATTGTAGCATCCCATAATCCCCTCTGTTTCAGCCCTGTTTCAAAAGTGCTGATTATGTGTCTGTAGCTTTAAATACAAATGAGCTTCTGCTACTTTAACCCTCCTGTTGTCTTCGGGTCAAATCTGACCGATTTACTACTTCCATCAATCTTAACTTTTTTGTTTGACATTCGATTGCATTAAGGCTTTACATTCGATTGTCATTAAGGCTTTATGATATC